TTAGAAAAAAAAAGATGTAAAAATTATAAGATGTATCTTTCAGAAGCAATTTTGAAATACCATAATACTGAAAGGGGCATCAAACCTCCTTATCATTTTCTTAAAGACATTAATTCCTAAGTTCCTTTAAGTGAAAACCTCCTTTAACCCTGTATTTCTGATTACATTTTTAATCAATTGAAATCTTACATATAGCCATGAATATGCAAGACTTCATAGTTAGCCATACCAGTGTAGGGAATTCTGAAAATATGAGGTAAGGCTTTTAAATAGATACAAGAGAGGGTCAGAATTCCAAAGAATAACAATATTAAGAAGAAATTTGTTAGATAAAGTTGAAGGCTGGAAATATTCACCAGCATTAAATTCTTTTCAGAGTTTGACAACCAAGCAGGCATTCTTTTCAGGCTGTCTAAAAAATTCCCCTTGAATTCAGATGGATTTCAAAGGTTCCGTGTTATTTCCCATGGAATATAAAAATAGTACATGCTAATTGACTGTCATGGTACCTGTATTAAAATTGGCATCTGTCACTCCAAGAAGTTTTGATTGGCAGAAGAGCCCAGACACATTCCATCTCCTCTTTATTTGGCCAAAGGAAAAGTTAACAAGTCAATGACCCTGAAAGGTAATGTGTAGAGGATTTGTATCACCAATTCCAAACCAGTCACTCTTCATGCAGTAACAAGGCTAGCTAATATTCCATATTTATGCCTCAGGTAAGGCAACAGCTAGACTCTCGTGGTCTTATCTTTAAAATGGAGTTCATCACACTTCATATTCCTGAAGGCACAGGCTGGGGTCAGGACTTCCTCTAAGATGCTATAAAGCTCCAGGACCTTTGATGCTACACTTTAAAAACTTCAGAATACTCCCATTGACCAGAAAAGTCAAAATACTGCTGTGCCTGGAAAGCAATATTCCTGATTACCTGGCTGCCCACTGTACCATTCCTCAGCTTATCCATTCTCTTTACATCCCAAGGTGAGACTCTAAACCACCAGAAAACTTTCTCGTTTTTATGAAACCATACTCATTCTTTTGTAATCTAAAATGGGCTTCCTCTCTAGCTATCCTAAGTCTACCCAGCTGTGGTAAGCAGAAGGAGGACCCCAATTTCTGGAGCCTGTCACTATGTTACCTGACACAGCAAAAGGGCCTTTTCAGATATGGTCGTTAACTATCTTGAGATGGGGAGGTTTTCCTGGATTAACTGGGTGGGCGCCATGTAATCACAATGATCCCTATCAGTGAAAGAGGGAAATGAGAAGCAGTCAGAGAAGGACATTTACAGATGGAAGCAGAGGACAAAGCTATGTGATTGTTGACCTTAGTTTGTGAAGATGAGCCAGGAACACTGCAGCCTCCAGAAGGAACCAGATTCTCCCCTAGAGCCTCAGAAGAAATGCAGCCCTGCTAACATCAAGATGTTAGCTGATTTTGGACTTCTGACCCCCAGAACTTTAAGAATAAATCTGTATTTTAAATCACTAAGTTTGTGGTCATTTGTTACAGCAGCAATAGGAAACTGATTCACCAGCCTTCAAGGTTCAAGTCTCACTTCCTTGGAAGTTTGACCAAAGCACTCTAACTCACTCTGCTTTTTCTTAAAAATTACTTTCTGTATCTACTTGAGTTTTAGCATTGTACCTCCAGTGTAATATATCTGGTAGCAGTAAAGCTGTATTTTGATATATAAGTGAGAAGCTTGTGCTGAAAACCCACATAATGCTGGTAACAGGCAATCCATAAAAATGGATAAAAGCACTTAGGGTTTGTAACATAAATAGGAAGAAAGACGTGTCTGTCTCTTTTTATCCTGTTTAGGAATACTCTGCCTACTCTAAAGTCAAATGATATTTTGCTATTTTTTTCTAGACAATTTTTGTTTTAGTTTATAATTAACTTTATGTGTTATATTAGGCAGGAATTGAAGTTCATTATTTTTCCATATGGATAACCACTGCTCCAGAGCTTTTTGTTGAAATGTTTCTTTTCCACATTGAATTAATTTTGTGTCTTTGTCAAAAAAAGGAACTTATATATGGATCAATTTATTTCTGAAGTCTCTATTATGTTTCATTAACCTACATGTCTATCTTTAGACCAATATCACACTGACTTGATTATTATATCTTCATAGTAAGTGTTAAATCAGGTAGGGTAAGTACTCCAAATTTGTTCTTTGTTTTCATTCTTCCTGTTCTTTTGTATGTGTTTCTAAATAAACTTTAGAAACAGTTTGTAAAATTTTGTAAAACAAAATAGAAATTCTGCTGGGATTTTTAAAATAGGATTACATTGCATCTATAGATCAATTAAGGATAATTATATTTTTATAATATCATATATAATCATGTCTCTACAGTTTTTTTCCCAATGGTATATTTAAAATTTTTTTGAATAGGCCAGGTGCAGTGGCTCACGCCTGTAATCCCAGCAGTTTGGGAGGCCTAGGCAAATAAATTGCCTAGCTCAGGAGTTAAAGACCAACCTGAGCAACATGATAAAACCCTGTCTCTACCAAAAAGATACAAAACATTAGCTGGGTGTGGTGGCACGTGACAGTGGTCCCAGCTACTTGGGAGGCTGAGGTGGGAGGATCACTTGAGCCTGTGAGGCAGAGATTTCAGTGAGCCAAGATTCCATTCCTGCACTCCAGCCTGGATGACAGAGTGAAAAAAAAAAATCCATCTCTGAAAATAAAAAGTAAAAATAAAAATATTTAAAATATACAGAAAGGTTGAAAGAATTTTTTCAATCATGAATGTAAGCTGAGTTTTCTCATACTTTCATTGCACATATAAACATGATTATGTTTTTCTTTCCTTTCATTATTAGTGTGGTAAATTACATTGAATGATTTTTGATATGTCGAGCCAACCTTGCATTCCTGTGATAAACCCCACTGGGTCATGATGAGTTCTTCATTTATTTGTATTCTTGGATTTAATTTGTAACTTTTTGAGAACTGTTGAATCTAAGTTCAAGAGAGATAATGATCTAAAAGTTTCTTTCCCCGTAATGCCCTTTTTAGGTTTTGGCATCAAGAATATATGTCCTCATGCAAGGAATTGAGGAGTGTTCCATCTGAAGGAATTAATCAGCGAAGCCATATGGGCTGGGCAATTTTTTGAAGGATAATTTTTTAGCTGAAAATTCAAATTTATAAGTAGACACATAGATTTTAAATTTCTTGTACTTGTTTTGGAAATTTTTCCATCACATCTAAGTTCTTGAATTTATTTGCACAAAATATTCATGATACTCCTCTATTATTTTTTTATTACTTGCAGGATTGGTAGTAAAGTATTATCTTTCATTCCTGATATTGGTAGTTTGTGGTTTTTTTCTCTCTTTGTGTTTTGTTTTGTTTTCTTTGTGTGTGTGTGTGTGTGTGTGTGTGTGTGTGTGTGTGTGTGTGTGTTTTCCTTGCAGAGGAGAATGAATTTAGTTAGAGTGTTCTTACTTTTATTAATTTTATATCAAATTTGTTGATTATATTCTTGGTTTTCTCTTTTATTTCTGCTCATATTTATTAGTTCTTATTTTTGTAACTAACTCCAGGTTTAATTTCTTATTTTTTATTATTTTTTTCTTTTTTATGGCTTATTTTTATAGCTTCTTACTCTATACAATTATAGCCATGATTTTGCCTCTAAGTAGTGCTTTGGCTGTATGTTATAAATTTTTATATATTGTGTCTTTATATCATATAATTCATAATATTTTCTAATTCACCCTGTGATTTCTTCTTTAACCTATTAGCTACTTAAGGATGGTTGCTTATTTCCCAATATTTTGATTGCTAATTTAATTTCCTTATGCTCAGAATAGTATATTGTCTATTTCAATTCTTACATATTTATCAAAAGATGTTTTATGATCTGTCATGTGTTCTGTCTTTATGAATGTCCCACATGTATTAGAAAAGAATGTATATTCTACAATTATTGGGTACAATGTTCTAGATGGTTACGCTGTTTGTAATTAGAGTTGCTCATCAATCTGAATGCTTTTATTTTTGTATATGTCCGCTAGTTATTACTGACAGTGGAGTGCTAAAATCTCCAACTGTTATTGTGTATTTTTCTGTTTCTCTTTAAGCTCTGCCATTCTTTATATAATAATATCTCTGTTACAATATGTATATACATTTCATATTTTATGTTCCTGATGAATTGATCTTTTATCACTCTGAAATGACCCTCATTGTCTCTAGTAATGCACATTTCCCTGAAATGTGCCGTAATACGTGAATTTGCATGGTGTATTATATTTTATACTTTTCCATTCACTTTGTTTTATATTTATTGGGAATCTTTTATAAACAGCATATAATTACATGTTGCTTTTCTTACCTAGCCTGATTATCTGCCTTTTACATAGAGTTTTTAGCCTATTTAAATTGAAGACAATTATCAATAGAGTCTTGTTTAATTCTATCATCTTGCTATGTTTTCTTGTTACTCCTTCTGTTTTATTTTAATTCTTTTAGTCCCTACCACTACTTTCTTTTGGATTAATCAAATAATTTTTTAGTATTCTATTCTATCTCCTCTTTTGGTTTTTTATTGGCTATATATGTATAAAGGGACCACATTATACATCTTTAATCACAGTAAGCCTTAAATTAACATTATGTCACTTCACTATAACAGAAGAGTCGTACAGCAACCTAATTCCATTTGCAGCCCCTTCCATCTTTGGCTATTACTGTTGCTTTCTTTCTACACATGCCACAAACCCTTCAGCACACTGTTAGGGTTTTTGCTATAAAAAGTAAATTCACTTTAAAAGTTAATTGAGTACTTTAGAGTTCACTTTAATGAGTACTTAAGAGTCGTTTGTTATTTAAAGTAACTGTAGTAAATGTATTAGAATAAAAAATATTCTTTTGTTAAGTTAGAATTTTAAGTCAAAATGTTTCCTCTTTTAGTATGTACAGTCATAACTGAGAATGTCATAGAGGTAAGACAGGGAATTATACCAAAAATCACCTGATTATAGCTTCATACGGCTTATCTTTTCACCCATTGGTCTGTCGCAAAAGTTGTTTCTTAGGACATCATTTTCATTGCAGAGTGTAAAGTTTCTACAAATGTTAGGGAGATGTTCTACTCCTAAATATAATTTTAATGCAGTTTATTATTGTTCCATAGAAGAATGTTTCTCTAATTATTTAATGACTACCTTGTAAAATTATCCTATAAGATATAGAAATTGTAAATGATTTTTCCAGGAGATTTTAATCAAATCCTTTAAGGAGAAACACTGGACTTGCCTTGTTTTCTATGAAGCTTATAGGCCCCATCTCAATGCATCCTATACGCACAAGGGGGCAGAGTTAAACTAGTGGTGAGAACACGGATTTTGAGCTTTCTGGTTTGAAAATAATTCAGATTTCATATCTGATTTTCCAATAATCATTTTCTAGGAAGAGGGTTTTACATTTCCATTGAAACTTATTTGCCTATCAGAGATAGTCTAGTTCATGAGATAACAGCTGTACATCAGAAACAAATGGTCCATGTTTACATGGTTATTTTTCTTGAATGTTTCTTGTTTAAATTTTATATAACACTAATTCACCATTCTTGATCTCTGAGAAGGCTGAGCTTGTAAGCAAAACTTAATGACATATTCCATAAAACAAGCAACTAAAGAGGATGCAGATCTTGGTTCTCTTCTATTTCAGTACCTAGGTGACGAAATCATCTATAAAACAAACCCCCGTTTTACAAGTTTCCCTATATAACAAACCTGCACATGTACCACTGAACCTAAAAGTTTAAAAAATAATAAATAAAATAAAAACCTTTGTTTATCCTCTTAAAAAAAAAAAAAAAGATAAAATTCAAGAGAACAAGACCTGAAAGTAAGCTTGAGAGTTTCAATCAAAACTAAATATGCTGATTTATCAAAAAATTCCAAAGATTTTTCAAATATGCCTCTCTTTCTCAAAGGCAAAATTCTTCACATATCTTCTCTGTCTCACCAGCATTTTGAATAGGAGTGCTCAATATGATACTGGTCATCATTACCCATTTTAAGCATTAAATACATGATTATAGAAGTGCTAAGAGAGACTTGATTTTCTGCTTAAAAATATGCTTTCTCCACCTATTCAGGATGTAAATGTAGATTACAAAGAAGAAAATATTTTCTTCAATATTTGTTGTTAAGACTTAAAATGTAAATAACCATGGGAGAAATAATTAACTGGCTTCAATTTACACAGAATAAAATGGACTGAAATCAAAACCCTTCTTGAGTCCATGTTTTGAGAAAACTGAGAAGCAGGACAGGCTAAAAGGAAAGAAGTTCCCACCTGCCAAAGGAGAATTGAGGCAGAGACCAAGAAAACGGGAAACAAGCCCAGAAATAGAAACAGGCAGATACCAAGACCTACTTATATCACAGTTTGCCTCAAGAACAACCTACCAAGCAGCCTGCTTTATCCATCATTCATTACAGGTCTCCTTTTAGGAGGAGATATGTAATTGAAAATTGATATGGAAATCTGATGTGCCTAATGTTTGACGATAGATAAAACTAGTATTTACTCCCCTTAACTCAAACTTTTATGTGAAATTTTTCATTGGACACCAGTAACCTTATTTATAAAGTGATTAATTTTTAAAACTGTGAAGAAAATTACACATAAAAATGTAATGAATATGGCACTGAAAAGTAAGACTATAAATACATAAAAGCATGCCATACTCCACCACCTTGTGTTTTATAATTTTAATCATATTTTCTTTGTTTAATTAAAATAGTATTTTCACAAGGATAACAATCTCAAAATAGTTAATATTCTGTTACTAACTCAGGGGAGCTATTATAATGCAAACCTCATAATTCAGTGTCGTGAGCGGAAGACTAAAAATCAACAGTACCTTAAAAGATGAAATAAATGAAGCATAAATGAAGAAAGTGCCTAGAGAAAAATTCAATTGGAACCCATAAACAAGTATCACGGCTTCTGATTCTTAATTATCCACTGGTTAATAAAAATTATTTCCTGTCCCATTTTCCTATTCCAAAATGTATTCATATGGAAAAGTTTCACAATTACCATATTCTTTCAGTAATTTTAACATTTTATAAATCCTTTTCAACTGCTTTAAAAAACAAGCCAATTAGACTTGTCACTGTGCCAGGAAAAATAGATTAATGAGTACTTTTTGCTAATTACTTTAGGAAGGTCTCATTTGATACAAAATAATTTATTAGGTTACATTCTTTAAACTTCTAATATTTGGTCTTTAATAGCATCTGTATCTTTTCCTTTAATATCAAAACAAGATGCTCCCTTAATTCTTCCAACTAATATAGTAATAATCATGTCAACACTATGCCTAAAAATGTATTCAGACAAGACATTTGCAGAGAGAACACTACAGACGGGGAATGGAAATAAGAATTACTAAAATGATATTCTCACTTTCAGGATCCTTGCGCTCACCATTGTCATTTTTGTCCTCGTGCTTGTCATCGCCATAAGATCAGCAGGCAAAATACTATGATGCCATTGTACAGCAGGGAAACTTAGACTCAAACATTCAGTGATGCATCTGTGACTACAGGTTTAGTGGAAGAGCTAGGGCATCAGCCTAGGTTCTCTGTTATTTGACAATACTACTAATAATAAAAAGCATTAGCTAGGCTCTTACTGTGTGCCAAGCATTATTTAAATGTTTTGTGGGTCTCATTACATGCAGTCCTCAAAGCAGCCCCGTTATCTTTATCTCCGTCTTACAGAAGAGGAAATGGAAGTGTAAGGAATGGAGATGTCGTAGTAATGAATGATGAAGATAGGGTTTGCTTCCTATGCTTTGGCTATGCTGCTCCTTAAAACACTTTTAGTCCCAAATACTGCAGAAAATTTGCCTTCTTCATTTCTTTCCTGATTTTCTGTTCTCCTCTAAATCTATACTATAATGAAATATTTGATGGTACCAGCCAAGAGCATTTATTTACCTTCCGTTTTTACTCTCTCATATGAAGATGGAGTCCCAGCACTGGGCATCAAAAGCCTGAATTCCAGTCCCAGCTGGCCTGTACCCAGACTCCTCTAGGCCTCAGTTTCCTCCAGTGTAAAGCTCTACTTAGCTCTAAACTGAAGCCATTAAAATCAGTGATTTATAAAGTCTCTTTCCATTCTAATGTTCTAGGAGTTATGCTTTTGGAGTTTATTTCTTCCTTTTTGGAAGAAAGGTGTTTTTATTGTTGTTATTAATTTAATCATGCTGTGGTGGTGTGCAACTTTTAAATTACACAATTACTGTACCAATTAGGAATGTGAAATGTATTTGATTCAACAAAAGCTCATAGAGAACCTACCCAAAACTGTTTTAGAATCACAGCTGCATAAGATAATCTACAAATCAACCATAAGTTATCCATTCCCAAAGTGGGAATGAGGAGAACATCAATAAGATGTCATCAGATAAGATTTGCAAAGCATAGCTTCATTTTAATGAAATCCAGAATTAGGTTTGGAACTGATGAAGTTTACTTAGATTGTCTCAAGTGCAAACTTATTTCTGATGTTCAATGTATGGATAAATGTGACAATTTAGACTATTATACTAGATCAGTGGAAAAAATAATATGTCCATAAAATAAAAACTCAATTTATTTTTAGTTATTACATCTTTTAATGAGGCACAGTAAAAAAGAGAAACAAAACATTGCCTGTACTTCATGTATTATGTGAATAAAACATATATATAAAACAGGTTAGAACACAGTAAAAAAGGGAACAGGTTAGAATCCATTTGTGCTGATCAAACTTTTCCTATTACAGAAAAGTTTATGGAAAAGATACTGCATTATTCAAAACCAATTTCCAATTTCCAAGAAAGAATTCGGAAACCAAAGAACAAATCTGAAATCCTGGCATCTTTCTAATTGCTCTCCTTTGAGCAAGTTCTTCAAGTTTTCTAAGTCTCTGTTTTCTTGTTTGTAGCATGAAACACCTGTTCTGTCCACCTCACAGGGTTCAATTCTGGGCTCACTTTTACTTTCTTTATATATTTGGCACCTAAGAAATCTTTCTGAGTTTCATGCTTTTAAATGCCATCAATGCGCTAACTTGAAGCTTTATTTCCCAGCTGTACTTTTTCCCCATCTTCCAAATACATATAGCTGATTCTGTGTTTGACATCTCCATTTTGATAACTACTGGACATCTTAGACTTAAAAACAAATTTCCAAATCAAACCCTTTGCTGTTCCTGCAATATTCCTTATTTCTTAGTAAATATTAACTACAATGGCACAGACCAAAAACCTTTGAATCATCCTATTCCCGTCTTCTCACGCCTCACATCTTATTAGCAAATCCGGTTGGTTCTACCTTCAAAACACCCTGCCTGCATATTAAATTATTCTAAAACTACACTTTAAGTGACTTTATTTCATTGTTAATTTAATATTATTAGCAACTGAAACAGCCTAGTTTTTTTAGTCTAGTTCTTCATTTATTTAATGACTTTCCTGTGACAAGTCTATACTTATTGCAGTAGCAAGCTTCTTAGTAGAAACATGGAGTCTCTTTCATTTTTCACAAAATGAACATCAATAAGGACCATGCATTTGAGAAGCATGTATTCTTTTCAATACCACAAGTCTAGCGGTGATAAATGTGTTCCAAGTGTTCTGCTCAGTCCTAGGAAAATGTGGTCTCTACCTTCAGGAAACTCAGTCTGGTTAGGGAGACAGGCATCAGGTACCATATATGACATATTGGTATGTTCACACTATGTGCTAAGTGTGGCATGACATGGGAGAAGGTGGCAGGAACATGGCCTGAGTGGGGAGTCCAGGAAGCCTGACTGTGAATATGGCACTTCGGTAGGGGACAAGGAGCCGTGTGCCAAATGAAAATGTTTCTGTGATTTATCAAAGCTCTCTATCAAAGTAGATTGATCTATTTGGGCCCTTATAACATCTGAGGTATGAAGGCCAACTTGTCTCACGTGAAAGACAACTGAGGCTAAGAAAATGTAAGCAGGTAAAGGCAGGCATCTAGTACCTGGTAGACAATGAAGTAGATTCCAAG